CTATCCTTTGTAATCTTATTTATTTAAATTTATGTTATTGTTTATTATTATTAGTAGATGTTAAATTATTTAACAGTTGTAATAAATATTGTAATTAAAAAAAATGCTTGCCTTTTAATATTTCAAGTCAAAAATTCGTCGATATATATCCATGCTTTTTTACTCAAATCAAACGTCTTCAAAAACACACACTTTTTGTCTAGGTGGTTATTTACTATCAAACTTTAAGAAACAGAAACAAAGTACTCTCGGGAATCAAATCAAAGTATTCACGGTGCCCTTGTTCAATAACATTCTGCGTAAACCGTTAACAATTATTGACCATGAATATACTCATAGATTAGCATACTCAATAAGCATCTTTCAGATCCCATATAATTCAAAGTATATACTCATATCGTTTAGGATTATGACCATCGACCATAGATAAATAAACCTAAACCCTGCACAATATATTCATTATGAATGCCAATGCATAGACCTTAAAATACAAATGTATTAAGGTCTATGCCATGAATATTATCATATTCTAATATTGTCTAGGGTCTATACTGCCATAACAATATATTATATTCCAATATTGTCCACGATGACTGTTGTTTTTAATTAGTACGATCATATTTATGGTTTCATCAGAAAGCTGATGTCAAATCATAATTTTTAACACAATTTAATGCTATTGCTTAATTGCGAATTTCGTTTTAATTCACAACTCAATAATCAGTCTCATAAAACAAGTACAAAATAAACATAATAGAAAAACTATTTAGTATTTAATAGAAAAACCTGAAAGATAACTTACTAACAAGAAGAAAACGATTTGTAATATACATAATATCTAATAATTTATTTCAAAACACAAACACATCTTAAGCATACTGCAAACATACAAAAACATTAAAATTAAGTGAGAAATTCTAATAAAAATTACCCTTTTCTGCATAATCTTTGTTGTCATCAAATTACATGCCCCCCTTTTGGATTTTTTGCTATATTTTATTTGCTTTATAAAAAATATAGTATACATCAGCTAGCATGTACATAACATTTCCTTTGTACAATATTTAACATTAAACAAAATCTTTTTGATAAAACAAAAAAGGAAATAATTGTTTACTTCGCAATCACAGATCAAAATTCACAAATCACAATCATTACAAGTTGAAGAGGCATTTAATTGATTGTTCTTCAAATTAATTCTAAAGTGAGAGCACTTTTTAAAATATACAATTACACACAATCTATTATTGAGTATAGCTTGTGTCATACTTAATAAAATATGCTTTTAGTTTAACTTTCATAAACCAACAGTGATAAAATTTAACTTTCATCTTTAACTTGAGCAGACACATGGTCTGGTTTTTCTCCTTTGGCATGTCTTTCCCACATTTTAGAATATAGCATTTCCATACCTTGCGCATACTTTTTACAATCAAACAAAGGGCTCGTCATTCGTGCCGTCCACACTTTTGCACGCATAGCTCTCAAACTGAAAAAATAAAATAGAATGAAATTAGTAACTAATATCAAATATAATGTAATGGAAAAGAATTATTCTTTTCTCAAACGTTACTCACTATTCTCTGTCAGTGCCTAATTTAATTGCTATATCTTGATAGTCCTGCCTAGTCCTGGCAATTAATTCTGGACAACCCAAAGTTGCAAGTTGCGAAGCAGCTACTCTAGAAGCTAATGTTTCTCCCGGAAGCGTTACTACAGGTGTACCAGTCCACAAAACATCCATTGAAGTGGTATGGCCATTACAAAGCGGAGTATCCAAACATACATCTGCGAGTTGACCACGTCTCACATGCTCTTCTTTAGCAGCCACATTTGAAAATATTATTCTACCAGGAGGAAGTCCTAAGAAAATTTGAATATTTTAAAATATTTGTTATAGACAGTTCATTTTGTTTAGTTAAGACATTTTTCACTTACCTAATTGGTTTGCTTGTGCCAAAAGATTAGGTTCTCCAACTGCTGGGAAACGCAATAACCACAAAATTGCATTTGGAACTTTTTTCAAAACATTTACCCACATATGTAAAGTAGCTGGATCAATTTTGTACAACTGATTGAAATTGCAGTAAACAACAGCATCATCAGGTAATCCATACTGTTGTCTGGTAGTAATAACAATGGATTGCGGAACTTCTTCCCCGGTTGCTGCTTTGTTGTTAGTTTGTGTAGTTGCTAAGCCATTCTGAACGACCACACCATTGACTGATGTTTGAACATGACCGGAAGCAATCATAGTTTCTATATGTGTTGTTGTAGGTAACTCTGCCACTTTTAAAGATATTTCAACAGGCTTGGCAGCCTGAATTACTTCCCTAATTTCCTTCACATCAGTATTTTCAACCAGTGGTGATAGATCAGTAGCATTTATAACTGCAACATTATCAGCAACAGAATTTGATCCATGGTTCTTGTCACTGACAATCAAACGTTCTTGCAGATGAGGGAACATTTGTTTATGATCACCAACAAAATAAGTGTACGGCATGTAGGCTAACTTTTCACTATACTGATCAGCTAACTCGAGGGGGGACGTAACTGCATCAGTGATTAAGTAATCCATAAAACTTGCACCACTTGTGCCAGGGTAACCCAGCCACATAACCTTCAAAATGATAAATTTATAATTAAAATATTTAAATATAAATAAAATACCAGGTAAATAAGCTATTACACATGTATTATTTTTACCTGTATTGCTGCTGGTCTTAAAGCAAAAATTTCATTTCTAGCTCCTTTGGTGTAACCATTCATATTAACCAGAACATGAATTCCATCAGCATTGATCCTGTCAGCAGCCTTCCCATTGCACATGACTTGTGACAGATCGATGAAATGTTCAGCCTCTCTGGCAATCTTAGCCCGGAATGTAGTTCCATCGTCTGGGCTTAAAGCATAACAGAATACTTCAACCTTGGTTTTATCATGTAGACCGGGAACAGATTGCATCAGATGAGACGTGGGATGGTTACCAAAATCACTGCTGACATAACCAATTTTCAAACGGCCCCTTAACTCCATAGGGTACTTATAAGGAGGTTTATGCAAAACATGAATTTTTTCCAAACACAAATTGGCATGCCTTGCAGCTATAGCCTTACGGAATTCATGAGATAAAGGATAAAGCATGGAATGATGAGGATGGACTGAGGGTAAACGATTTTTATCCAATTGTTCAGCTACAATGCTCACTAGTTTTTTCATGCGAGCCTCATAATCAGTCCAATCGCAAACTATTTGTAAACAATGTGCCAAGTTGCAGTAAGCATCAGGAAAATCAGGCTTCAGCTTCAAAGCAGTTCTATAACTCTGAATAGCTTCAGGAATGTTACCAGAGTCTTTATGGATGCTAGCTAAGTTACTATGAGCATCAGCAAATGCTGGATTGATCTGTATTGCTCGGGTATAACACTGCAAGGCTCCTGATACATCTTGCATTTCTTTCAAAGTGTTACCCATATTCGAATAAGCGTCCGCAAATGTGGGCTGTATACGAATAGCTTCTTTATAATGCATTAGAGCTTCATTTAATTTGCCTTGCTGTTGCAAAACTGAAGCCAAATTTGAATGGGCTGCTGCAAATTCTGGAAAAACTTCTAAGGCTTTGAGATACAACCGAGTTGCTTCTTCAATATAACCTTGTTCGCGCTTTATATTAGCCAGATTGTTCAAAGAATCAGCATGCGATGGGCATAAGCGCAGTGCCGTATTGTAGCATTCTTCAGCATCAGCAACCTACAACCAATATGATAAATTGGTGTATTTTCCAAAAATTACATGTAGCACCAAAGCCAAGCGGCTACCCTTACCTGTCCTTTTTCCTTGAGTGCATTAGCCAAATTGCAATAGGCATCAGGAAAGTTTGGTTGCAGTTCGATAGCCCTCCGATAAGTATCAATAGCCAAATCAATGAGCCCCTGCTCATAATAAACACATGCCAGATTTCCATGCACCACTGCATTGTTTGGGGATAAATTCAGGGCTCGCAAATAGGCTGCTACAGCTCTGGTAAAAAAATATTTCCAGAATAAGTAAAACATGGTCGAAAATGATAAACAATTCAATTATTTTAAAATTATGCAATCGATGTTTCTATTATTAAAAAATCTTACTTTCTCTTTACATAATTTGTGAATCTCTGAATGCAGTTGCACATTTCCGTTTAAGACAATAAAATTAATTATCAATAATCTGTTAAGTAATTTGCTGTGAGCCAATTTAGAAATCAAAATTCGAACTGTGCTGTGAGCATAATAAAATATTCACTAGCGTTCGTTCATAGCAGTATTATACAAATTATTAATAATTCAAAATGAAATTTCATGTATTTGTATAACAATATAAAATGTACACAATGACTCGTACGTCATTATATAAACAGCATACCATATTGTACATTTTCGATATTATATATATATATATATATATATATATATATATATATATAGAAATGGTTGAATATCATTATAAATCTTATACAATATCAAATTACCAATTAACATTATTATTATTACGAATCCCGTCGTGAAAACAAAATATTTTCCAGAATTCTTATCTCGAGATTAAGAATTCGCTGTTTGTTTATATAATGATATTATGCAAAATATATTATTCGAAACGTGTGCAAGCCGAGAAATGTTTAGTATTTGTTTAAGTAGTAAAGCACATTTTATCGCTGTTAATCGCAATATACGTTTAGGAACAATTTGTTTTCAAAAAGGCAAAATATTTTCGCCATTACTAAATAATTCCGAGAACGAATGAAGTACGTTCCTAAACGTTGAGGTATAAAAAAACTTAATATATAATAGCAATTTATTATTAATGGCGCTTTGCCCGGTGCAGATTATTTGTGCCAGAGCACATTTTCTCACATATTGTATCCTTGTTAACTTTGTTGTCCAAATATCGAAATTGAACATTATTGCATATCTTCATTGTTTTGAAGGTTTCTGAACATTTTGGGAATTCCGTAGAAAAAATGTGCGTGTATGTATGCATGGATACAATTTTTCGTCCACGTTTTCGAGCGCAAGAATCAACCTATTTCAAGGTTAAAAAAACATTCGATTCCTATTGATGGGGAGATGTGCTGAAAAGTTTTAGCAGAGTTCATAAAATAAAAGTCGAGTATTTGAGAGAACGAAGTATCCAATTTGAATCATCCAAAAAACATTTAATTCGTAATGATGGAGAGAAGTGGTGGTTAGTTTTTGGCTAAGGCAGGTCCAGCCGTATCGCAGGATACGAAAAAACTTTATGTTTGTGTTGACGAAACGATTGTTTTTAGGGAAAGAAAAAACTTTTTTAATTTTCAAAAAAAATTTTGAATATCGAAAGTAATTCAAAATTTCAAAATTTTAATTTAGTACAGAAAGTTCCTGCAATTTGCATCAAAGCACGATTCCATACACAACTAGTTTCTATATCACTTTATACTTGTCAGTACGGCTATCAATTCACTGTAATGTTTCATAAGGCAAATTAGACACAGTTTATGTATGAAAATAATTAAAAGTTCATGTCCTGTTCACACGAATATGAAAAAGCGATCAATACTTTATTAATTATTCAGTCGAATACATAGAATAACCATCGAGTATCCTATTGCAATACTGTTTGCATTTCCATTGGCAATTTGTTCATTTTGTTTTTTATCGGAAAGAGACGAAAAAAAATCCAAGTTTTTCTAAAATATTTTTTGGTCACAAACGAATCAATATAAGCCTTTACTTACAAGGATTGCGTCAAGTCTCTTGTAATTATTTTTTACTTGACAAATTGAATTTGATAATGTAAATCCGAAACATGCTCTTTTTGGAACACGGCCAATGGAAACGGTTCAAGTCAATCAGGAATAATTCAATGACATCTGAAAAAGTATCTCCGAAAATAACTAATCCATTTTCAGTCATGACATGGTTCAAAATTCTGCATTTAACATGGTGAATTTAACAAATTTGCAATATCATGACATGCATCGGTAAATTTTCCAATAATAAACGATCGATTATGCAATAATTAATATAGAGACCAATTAAATTGTGATGTTTTGGCGACAACCAATTACTAATTAATGGAACTGTTCGGCCAATTACTGGGTCACTCTATCGCAGTTCCGTATCTAGAGAATAATTGAAACATAATCGGTAAAAGCATTTGCACTCGTAAGAAGGGTTTTTGGGATTCTGTGCACCAAGTATAATATACATACATACATACACACACATATATATATATATATATATATATATATATATATATATATATATATATATATATATATTTATATAAATATTAATGTAAATAATATAAGTTAATGTTTTAAATTTTACTAATAAGTAGTTTACCTTCGCATATTCAAAGTTAATCAGTTAAGTCATAAAGGATTGAGAAACACCGATTACCTACAATTTTTTAATACTGCAAATAATTTATCATTGCTAACCTTTTAATTTGATTTTTCAGACAATCCAAGCATCCCTTCGACCCGTCCTGCTTGCTGGTCGTCTCGGCAACTTTTGGATCGACGGGATGCTTTATATTAACAACTGTATAAATAACGACACACTGGTATTCCATTTTCCCCACAAGTCAAGATTATTTTTAAATAAATAAAGAAATGCTATATTGTAATTTGGCAACAATTCGGACGTGGCATTATTCTCGTATTGTCGATGAGAAGGTTTGTGTTTATAATTTAGACCCGTATTAGAGAAATTCGTTTAGTTTTACCACGATTTTGGGTAAGAGAACACACACGTTAGTTAATGTTATCCGACAGAAAATGTCGGTTTGGATTTGATAAAATTTGTTATTGTACACCACGACATGTTTTTGCACATTTATAAACATTTGGACTATATTATTTTAATACATCAGAAAAATTAACACATTCAATAATACATATTTTATAAGTCAGTCCCAAAAATGTTGTGCATACATATTTTTTGATACCTGGAATGATCACATATTTTATATAAAATCACACACTATAAAACATCTTACTAACTCTTAAAAATAGTGAGCATCTAATTTTTTATTACTAAAAACGATTACTTAAGTTTTATTCATTTTTAAAAGGAAATACTGAAGTCCGGTGTCAGTAACGGAGAGAACACGTGCGATTATTTGATATTCTGACAGAGTTACGACAACGTTCTAAAATTGTACGTGGGCGCCCAAAATAAATGCCGCCAAACAGTCAAGACATCATCATGGTGTCCTTGGGTGAAAATCAAAGCCGAAACAAGCTATTAAAAGAATCTGTCGCTAACACCTCGATAATCAAGATAATTCAAAGGATAATAGAAGGAATGATCAGGATCATACATCTGCACACGAGCAAAATTAATGGAACTTTCACATCGGGAAAGCGTCTTGATATGTGGGCGTACACATTTTTACCACTTTTAATGATTATTTACCACTTAAAAAAATGATAAATGAATAAACACTTCAGTTTTTTCTTCCTATATTATCAAAGAATGTGCATTACATCAACGATTTTGTTAGTACAAGTTTATTTTTAATTCAAACAATTTCTATAATGTTTACACGAACACATTTCAAAATTTCATAACGAAATTGTATATCTCTTCGTTTGGAAGAACGCCAAGATGATGTCGTAAATTTTCAATATAAATTGATAAATTATTACTGTAATTAATGATTTAAAGCATAAGTCTGACTATCAAATAGTTATAATTAATACTTACAAAACAGTTTATACGAATATTTTGTATTACATTTAATTATAATTAATTATAATAATCAGTCTAATACAAGGACGGCTTGTTACATCCATGAACATTTAATTAGTTTGTATATAAAGGATTTAGATTTTATAAAAAAGGACGTTTCTATACACACTACACGTAAATTAATTCGTGTTCGACACTTTAATATTAATGCACGATAAAAATGTATATATGTTTCGTAACTCGTACTACGTTTTTTTTTTAAATTTCTTTAGAATAGTGAGTTTTTTTTAGTTAATTTTTGGAAGTACAATCTCAAAGAATTAATTTAGAAGAAGTATCTAAAAGAGAAGAAAGGACAGAGGAATGTTTTGTTGTAAAAAGTTTAGTATCTACGAAGTGCGTTTTTAGTGCTACGTTCTACGGACTACTAAAGCCAACGTAGAAGCGAAAGCCCTACGATCCAGGGATGCGGACCGATGAGATCTGCACGAAAGCTGGAAGGGATATAAAGCACATTTTGTTTAATATTAGAAGGCTTATTCAAACTCTTGAACATTTTCTCATTTTCTCTAAGCTATGAAAAGGCTTAAGATACGATAACCTATATAATACGCGTCCATAATATAAAATGCAATTTTACCGTATCTTAAATACACAGTTCGGAGCCTTAAATTCAAGTCCAAAGCATATAAATAACTAAATCCAAAATTAGGTAGTGGTAAATTAAAATCGCATTTTCATCCTCTAATGATTTACTGTTGGTTTTGACCAACTGTATTATTTCTAGTCAATATTGAATTAACACATTTGAATATAATTTGTCCATTAAAGATATGCATATTGAGTCATACATATTGAATTAAAATGGCCTTAAAAGATGAAAGTGTTAATACAATGTTAAATATTAAATAAAATATATAATATATTTTTAAAAATCTGTGAATTTGATCCATCAAACAGAATTTTCAATCAATATTCCCTCCGCAGAAAGTTTATCTCGCCGGTTAACCAACTTGCACAGTGTCGTAATCGACCATGCGCACCAGGACGCATCCTGCATCCTGTTCGCTCTTTAAAAAGAATTCTGGGCTCGACAGAGAGGGCAATAAAATAATAATATTTGTCTGTAACATATATGCTGAAGCCTACGACCCCTAAGGGAGCAAAAATAGCGAAAAAAGAACATCATATTAAAAGAGGGTAATGATTTTATAAATAATCTATTATATTTCTTTGACGCAAATGAAAGAATTTTAAATGAATAAAACAAAATTCAATGCCTTACGTTCGGATAACATATAACGCCACATTGAAACAGACATCATAATGATAAAAGTTAGAAAACACATCACAGCTTATATTAAAACAGTTTTTATATGTATGCATTATCACTTCACCGTAATGAATATAATTAAAAGATATTAAATTTGTTTAAATTTAAGTTTTAATTAAATATTGCAGTGTCGTAAGTTACACTGCAACGCATCTCAAAAAATCAGTTTAGAACATCATTTTTTTTTATTAAGATACATATAAAATAAATTATAAGTTTAATATCTCCCTTCCGCCTTTTTGTATTATAAACCAAGAGCAAAAAAGCGAATGAGATATTTGACAACCTAATATATAGACAAACTGTTTGGGGTAGTTAAAAGGTTAACAGTTGTTAATTTTTAACAATTAATTTTCGATGAAAAAATATTGATATTAGTTCGTAATCAATTTCTATGCGTCGTTAATCATTTTGTTGCCATTAGTTATTATTATATAATAATAACTTTTAAGTGTTTCCAACATGGACTGTTGCCAAATAAATGTATGCAACCGAAACTTCTCGGACAAACACAAAAAACACTTCCGATAATATTCCAAACAATAATGATTCTAGAGTAAAAAATTATGTATGGAATCGAAATGTACAAATTGCATTCTACAAATAGATCAAGGCATAAATATAAATAACAAAATCTATATATAACTCTGTCTCTAATATATTCAGATCGAAATTGAATAATACATAAGATGTACGAGCAATTTTTCAAGAAATAGAGGCTTCGGAAAAATATTTTTCGCATTAAGGAAACTGGCGCAAAAAGATTTGAATTGGATTATATTTAATGCATGAGTCGATTCAGGTCTTATTAAAATTAAAAAAAAACTTTTTAGAGTCGAATAAAACAAGGTTAAAAGCGAAACATTGTTAATTATACGTTTCGCCACTTGATGTGTGTCATCATTCAGTAAATCTAAAATACATCAAGTGTCGTAAATCTTTTTATAATTTGACTAATGAGGTGCTAATTATGTATATATATATATATATATATATATATATATATGTGTGTGTGTGTAAATATATACGTGAATTTGTGTTCATATGCGTTATATGTAAATATATAAAAATATGCATATATATAAGCAATGGAAAATTATAGGAAAATACATAAAAACAACCCACTCACCAAGAGGGCCGCAGTGAAAACATGGAAAATGTAGGAAAATGTGTATCTGCAGATGACAGCATTAGATAATATGTTGTTTACCTAAGGTATTTATCATGCAAATTCGTATTCTATAAATAGAGTAAATAGAATTGTATACTACGTACATAATTACATACAAACTTCTTAGTGTGAAAAATTGTTTATAAATTTAACATCACGTTCAAATAAAATTAAAAGAATGACATTATCGAATGCATATTTGAGTTCAAAGTTGTTGAATACAATTGATATAAAGCTATTTATACTTAAAACAATTCAAGTTGGAAAGCCTTTCGCGTGCTTTTGTAAGTAGTTTAATTACCATTATAAAATTAATTAATGATCATTTACGATCGTTTTTATAGCAGTTGTAAGAATGTTCTTAAGCATATGTCTCGAAATTCATTTTCGCAGACACGCAGCAATGACCGGGTAACTCCTACATAAAATCAATACCATCATCTTGTTCGCCGAGCTTCTAAGTGTTCGAGAGAGGAATACGAAATCGTGTTTTTGATAAGATTAATTACCTTCATAATATCTTAATTAGCAAACTGATATATTAGGATGATTAATTAGATACACAGTCGAAAATAACTGACAGAAATATACATATAGGATAAGATGTAAATTGAGTACTGAACCCTGAATAGACAGGTTTAAGACGACAGATAGCATTCATAACAGCTTTTACCATTTACTGCCGTTATAAATATAAAAAATAAAAAAATACAAAAAAGTAAAATATGTTTGTGTAATTTGATCATTATATATTCGATAATCGCGTCGAGAATAATAGGATTTTAATTAATTCATTCATTGTTATGTGTATTAATGTTTTAACAATGATAATCAGACCGCTGGTTTCCTAAATAAACTTCAACTTTTATATTATAATTCAGTGAATCACTAGTTTAACGTCATTTAATAATTCAAACAGTTAGTTCATTATATAAGTTTGACCAACTTATTAATTATGAATTTTAAAAAATTAACTTCCCATAGAGTAAGTTATTGTTATGGATACAATTTTTCGTCCACGTTTTCGGGCGCACGGATAAACCGATTTGAATGGTTCAAAAAACATTCGATTCCTATTGATAGGTCGAGCCGTTTCAAAGATAAGAAGCAAAGAGTGCAGAAAATAGAAATCGAGTTTTTCAGAGAACATTTAATTCGTAATGAAGGGGAGAAGTGGTGATTATATTTTGGCAAAAGCAATTCCAGCGATTTCGGAGATACTGCGCTAAATGTGCAAAAAATTGCAGTTTTTGAGAGAAATAAGTATCCGATTTGAATGATTCAAAAAACTTTCTGCTTGTTTCGACAAAATAATTGCTTTTGGAGAAAACGATTATTACAAAAATTTTCTTTTTCAATTATTTTTCTCTCAAAAAAATTTTTTTTTGTATATCGAAAATAATTCAAATTTTAATTTTAATTTTGGCTGAAGTTCTAAAGCTCATTTATATACTTTAAATAAATAATTTTAACTTTGTAATTCAGTTTATATGTCTAATATATATAAATATTAGACAATTTACAATATTTATAATTATCTATAAGAAAACATATTTTTCGAGCATTTCGTTACGGTACGGAAAGTTCCTGCAATTTGCCTTGAGGCACGATGCCATACACAACTAGTTTTCAATTATTTAATTTAAGATGTCCGCTTCTATTGATAGCAAATAGAAAAAATTAAAAAACTCATTTGTAATTAATAATTACTGAAGATGGGGCATCCTATATCCCCAAAACGTTAGATAAAATATTTTTTTACAGGAGTCACTTAGTTCAGAAGTTTAAAAATCATATATATATATATATATATATATATATATATATATATATATATATATATACAGGACATTCACTATTATACTCTTATTCACTCACCTATCAAAAATCCTAGCCTCCTTCAACACATTTCCCAAATTGATGTAAGCATCCAAAAAATTGGGATCAAGAGCCACAGCTTTTTCAAAATGATGAATGGCCAACCAAATTTCACTCTGAGCATTGAAGACACATCCCAAATTGCTCCAGGCGACAGCAAAATCATGCCTGGTCTCTATGGCTTTCAAATAGCAGGCCTACACGATTATTATGAAAATAGAAAAGAGTTTTATAATGATTAAAAGCAATGAGGAACGTGAATGGTGTAATTAAGTCTTACAATAAAAGGTATTACAGCAGAACCAAAAATATTGTAAGATTTTATTGCACACATGAAATTAAGAACCCACAACAAGTATTTTTTATTCGCTGCAGTTTTGAAAGGTATTTAGCACTGTTTTAATCGCTTTGCATATTTCATAAATCAAATTTAGCCATGTGTTAGATATTTTTGTTGCTTAAAATGTATATCATGTAAGATTAATAAATTAAGAAATAAAAATACTAACACATTGCTATGGAGCGCAAGTAAAACGCAAGCTTTTTCGCGCAGTTTTGTTTAAATTTTGCCAAAATTTTATTCGCAGCAAAGATTTTTTTTAATTCTTAGTTTTAAACAGCACAATAAAACTGAGGAGTACATGGAAGTTTGGGTAACACATTGATAGATATAAAAACATAATGGGATGAGAGCTAGTGTTTGAACAAGAGTAAGTGGTAAATATTCATTTTATATATAAATTTAAACGCGCAAGCTGGTAATTCAATCATTCAGTTTTTATAAAGAGTGAATAAAACAGCATTAAAAAATTCATTTTCCAATTTGTTCATGTAAAAAGCAGCCAGTACAACTAACACAGTTAAAACTTTGCTGATTTTCATTTCACCTCCATTTTTCACTCATCTTAACTTGCCTTGTCATCTTGATTTGCGGTAAACCACAAAATTATGCAGACAAATGTAGTAAAAAAAAAAGTAATAAACAAACAATACAGTTTAAAAACAAATAATACCTTCTGCTTGCAAAAATTTATATTTATATTTTGCCTTTTCTAAATTTGCCTGCAACATTTTGTAGTTCATTAAAATTTAGACTATGCATATCATACAGGCTACTCTGTACAATGTTTTTTAAATAGCAAATTCATTTATAAAATATTCACTCTACTATAAAGATTGAATTCTAAAAAAATATATTACAATTTGCTTACGAACTTATAAACTACGCACAACACATGGTGAGATCTGTAAAGAAAAATTAAAAGAATACAAATAGCCATTAATGAATTCCGTAGAAACCTAGAATAATATATAAGTAATAAATGCATAGGAAACAAATTCGCGGAGGCAAATTGTAAATATTTTTTACTTTCAGTCAATTTAATATTAAATTGTAGTTTATTCGCATTCGCCAGCGCACACGACTGCTTTCTTCTATAAATTATCAAGTTTAATTATAATAGGGCTTTGCATACATGTAGATTCGATAAATAACAAACGAACATCGCAATGCAATATTTAATGGTAGTATTTGTGTGTAAAAGCACTGACAATCATGCAGGAATCTTCAAAAGTTATTTATCAAATCTATGAATGCTGGCTTGACGCAAAATGCAATTAGTACATCAATTAGGAATCAATCAGCATTTTTGAAAGAGAAATCATGAAAAAAAAATCAATATCAACATATACACAATCATCATAATTAAAAATAAAACATCTTTTGAAAAATTAACAAAAAATTATCTTGCTGACACAAATCTCTGCAAAAATAAAATAAATTTGACATTTTTCGGACCTATTTATGTAAATTTAAGATTATTTTACAATTTGTCTTCCTATAAAAGTTATTGTTGGATTTTAATACCAAACATTACCTGATCACCGTTGAATGGAGAAGATTTCACCAAAATTTGGAGTATTTTGGACAGATCACAATTTCAAAACGCATTTTTTATTTTGAATTTTTGTTTATTTAGATTTTCAAAAACTCCAAGAGCCGCACAGCGCTGCAATCTACAAAGGTCTGGTGGATATCAATAAAAAGAAAAAAATAGATTCAAATTAGTTTTGGTCACAACTATTTCATCTTCATCGGTTTTGATTCAAAATCCAAATTTCTTTCTATCTTAATTTTAAAAAAGATTTAATTTCTAGTTATTCAAAATCATTTCTTTGGGTTTTGAAACCTCACATACCCCGGATTCATAAACTTAAACTTGTGGACTTGAAAACGTATTGAATTATTTATGAGGTCCAAATGTTTAAATTTATGCTCGATCACAATAATTTTTTTAAATGACACTTCTGAGCTTCTTAATTTTGAAATTGTAATATTTTATAAAATATCAGTCATTTATTAAATAAATTCATATTATGTTCATCAATCCATAAACATTAATTCAAAGTAAAATAAATAATAATCAAAAACAAATAGAAACACTTATTAAAGAAAATAATTGAAAATAGAATTTGTCATGAACATAATATAAATATTATTCAATAAAGATCACATAATACAAATCATCTGAAAAATTAAGAAAGATACCCAAAAATTGGTCTGTGTGACCAAATGCATACTCTCGACACAAATAAAATAAAAATCGAAAATCTATATGCTACGCGCAAGAAACAAAGAGACTACGCGCAAATATTTCACAATTTTCACTAAAATCTACGCGCTGTTTCATTAAAGGCTGTTTCATTACAGGCTACGCGCAAATATCTGGATTTTATAATAATCCAATATGCCCCATTGACAGAAATTTTACAACCAAAACATGTTTTGGCCTTACATAATGGCATTTTTGAATTACCGCAAATCCAAATATACTTACAAAATATAAAGAGCAAAGCAGAAAGTATGCAAATAAGTTTCTACAAGTATGCATGTTTATATATAATTAAAATACACAAATAAAATATCACAAATCCAAAATTAACAAATTCAATGTCAATGTTGAAACTTCATTATTTAAATGAGATTCTTGTAAGAAATTAAAATTATTATTAAAAAAATATATTGTGATCTTTATATCATATAACATCGTTTTATTTATTTGCACCATTACACTTACCTTGGCCTCGTCTAATCTTCCTAGGGCTTTCAATAAATTACCCAAATCACTTCGAACACAGTACAAGTCCTGAAACAATAAAATACATTTAAATATTGAGGTGATCATGGATTTTTTGCTATTCACATATCAGGTTGATTACTCACAGGGTTATACTGCAAAGCTGTAACATAGGCTTGAACAGCTTGCTCCATATCTCCTGCTGCAACTAATGCAGCTGCTAAATTTATGTAGCCATCGATGAAATCAGGTTTTAGTCTCACTGCGTGTCTGTAGTTCTCCAAGGCTTCTTGAAGCTGTCCACGTTCTTTGTACACATTTCCCAAATTGCTGAAACAAGGTAATAGTTGATTTTAATGTAATGATTAAACAAGTAGACAACACAACAATTTTCACATTGAACGCAATAGAAAAAAGAATTTGAGAGAAAATGTCATATGGAGTGCTACCAAAATATATAACGAATTGCCAGACTATATTAAGATGACCAATGATAATGATAATTTTAAAAGAAAAATAAAGAAGTACTATATGGAAATTGAAGAAAAAGAAGACTGAAGAGTTATATATAGATATTATATTAATGAAATAAATATTATAGTCAAATGAAATGTAAATATTATATGAAAACTGTTTTTCATAATCTCTCATACCAGGCACCTCTGTCTGACTGAGATATGAAAATAATGTATATATGTAAATAAAAATAAATAAAAGTAGGATTATAAATAAGATAAGAATTATATTCACCTATAAGCCTCCGCTAACAATGGATTCTGCTTGATAGCCAATGATGAGAAGTGAGCTGATTTATCAAGTCGTCTGCACTGAAAATGTATTGAGGATAACAACAGAAGCACTCCTGTGTTACCATTCTCCTGTCTCCATAATTGCATGCAATGTCTTTCTGCGTTGTCATAATCACTTGCTTGATACTCGCGATGAGCTAATTCTAGTAAACCTGTAGTTGGAAAATAAAACTTTAATATGACATAAAAATCAAGTATCTACAAGTATGAAGATCGTAGGATAAACAAATTTAAAGTTATAATTATTTGAAAAAGCACTTCTTTCTAAAGAAAAACGATGTAAAAATAAAATGTCATCATCACACCTTTGAAATATTAATGTACACAGACAAAATGATAACCCAAATATACACAAAAGTTAATATTTATCTAAGATAAGTAAGAAATATATCAATATAATCATTTTCTTCACTAGCTAACATATGAATTATATTTAGATTTGTTATTATCAAAAGCAAGATAAGAATAACCTGGTTGTCCGCTCAATTTTTAGAAGAAATTATGGAAATAATAATTAAATTGCATGATGCAGACAATTTGCTTGCTAAGTCACAAAAAAATTATGACCAGTAATTCCATAAGAATTTACAACATTAAATAGGCAAATGATTTAATTATTGTTAATAATCTTTTATGTATGACTATTTATAAATTATCATTGATTTAGTAATCAACGACTCTACCAATCAATTTTGGAATAGAAATAAAATTGACTGCAACTAATTTGCTGCTTATTAATAATTTAAAAATAGTATTATTAAATTATTTAATGTAGGCTAGCAACAAGCATAATGAATAACGATAAAACCAAATTTATATTCTGAAATACAATCGTAGTAAAAAAAATCGATAATGCAGACAAGTTGCAAGGTCAGGGAAAAATAAATCTGTAAAAATAGAATTTGCATGGGCGAAGGTTTTCATGATATTCGCAGTCCCACAATTAGATATAAATATAATTATAAAGTTAAAACAAATCTGTGAAGAATAATTTATATGTTATTTAAGTACCATTAGGCAACTCGGTTGCATTAGAAACGTGTATAAAATTCTTAAAGATACTGCAGGTGCAGATGATTTTAGTATTATATCCATATGTATCCATTTAATTTTTATCTTACCTACAGTAGATATCGGTGGAGCGATATCGTTCATTTTCAATATAACAGTATTCCCAGGCACTTGTACCCCCGTTACGGCATTAACACCGATCGAATTTTGTTGAATGTGAACGCCAGCCGTCTGACCAACACTAGCGCTGTGGGATTGCATTTCTCACGTTTATATTATAAAAGTCCTTAATCATTAAACACGACTCCACTAAATTCACAATCCGTTCGCGAATTCTGCATACAGCAATATCTCAATAAAAAAACTCGATAATCAAAACAATTTATTACACGGCTAGTCAACTAGATGATCGTTCGCCATGTTGTGAGATGAAATTATTGAATCGCTGCAGGCTTCTCGCCAGTGAAGGACAAGGAACAAGGCAGCTTATATATTATTAGCAAGGCATGATTAAAATGGCAAAAAGTTTTGAAAAAAAAATAATATCATTAAAAAAAATATGTGTAAATATAAATATACGGACACGTTGAATTATTATATTAGCGCTTAATTATATACTTTACTTAAAATATAAACGGCCTATGTATCTGTATCGCTCTTTTCCTAAGACCTACACAAAACTTATTTTTAAATTTTCAGTTTTAAAACTTATGGAAATTTAGTTCTAATTATATAAACAATAATTTATCATTAATTGTTATTTACACAATAAAATAGAAAATATTAGACACATGTAAAATACGTACAACATTTGAACACGTATATTTTATTGTGACATATTATTATTTCTTATTATTAATATAATGGCAGTAAAGCACATCATCATTAAAAGTAATGATAACTAAATAAATTGGTTGTTGATATTGTTGTTAAATAAACTTTGCTAAATAAATTAAATTACATTTAAGTGTTGACGACCTGGTAATGATCACCACTGTGTCATATAAAAGAAAATGTTAAAAAGAGAAAAATGAGCGAGATAGATAATGAGCAGATGTTAAGTTGTTTTGATACTTACCAAACTAAAAAATAAATAAAAAATATTATGGAAAAAATACTATTTATGCAAATTCAAACTTTAATTTTAATAAATTAATTATTATTGGCTTGAAATATTTCTTGAAATTATCAAAAATGTCTTTAGCGCTATGGATTCGAGGCTATGAATCACCTTAATTACACAGCTACCAACTTCACACGGGAAATTACGAAGAAGACATTAGTGACGTTTCTGAAAACCGGCAATTCGTCGGCGTCATCTTGCTTATTCTACCAGTTTGCTTGCCGAGATCGTATGATCTGTACTCTGCTTTCATTTTTTTCATTATTTTCAAGAGCAATGGCTGAAGCACGCGAAAGAACTTTCATTATGGTGAAACCCGATGGCGTCCAAAGGGGTTTGGTAGGAAAAATCATCAAACGATTCGAAGCTAAAGGATTCAAACTTGTAGCAATGAAATTCATGTGGGTGAGTAACGAACTCCATTAATAATCACCGTAGGGGATAAGATATTATATAACGTGTTTTGATGATTCAATTAGACTTTCAATTTACTTAATTGACACAATATTGTACAATGTTGATAAAAATTACACAATGTGTTTATATAGGTTATAACAACATATGATTGCAAACTTGCTTTGATTAATTTAATTACCTTAGTGTTTATGAATTCTGTGTTTTCATTATATTTTTTCTCTTCAGCCATCAGAGGAGCTCTTGAAGAAACACTATGCCGATCTTTCTGCCAGACCTTTCTTCCCTGGACTAGTTAAATACATGAGCTCTGGCCCTGTTGTCCCCATGGTCTGGGAAGGCACTAATGTTGTAAAAACTGGTCGTGTTATGTTAGGAGCTACAAATCCAGCTGACTCGACCCCAGGAACCATCCGAGGAGATCTCTGTGTGGAAGTTGGCCGCAATATTCTCCATGGATCAGATGGTGTAGAAAGTGCCAAGAAGGAAATTGCTTTATGGTTCACTGAAAAGGAAGTAATCTCCTGGACCCCAGCTCATGAATCATGGGTTTATGAATAAATGTGATAATTTTTGAATTTTGTATAAGCTGCATTTAAATAAAAATATTGTTGAAATTTTCTTATTTTACTTGCAATACTCTTATCAATAGGTCATACAATACTATTTAAAACTGGTTTTGAGAGTACACTAAACAATACAAACTATCATGCAAAGTGCAAAGAATTGATCTCAAATATGTTCTATTTATTTACTTTACTATAAATGCATGTTAAACCGGTTAAATCCAATAATAACTAACAATTCAATAAAAAGCTACAGAATCATATAAGTATTTAGTACTATTGTTTCATAAAATAAATTATTACAGTCAAAGTAATGTGCATTATAGATAATAAAAAGGATTTCTGGTTCTATTTTCATTTAATGCCTGTTGGGAAGTGCAAAAGCTCCACAGACTTTTTAAGCCTTTCAGTAAAAAAAAATTAATATGAGTGGCACAATAAAATCAATTAAATATATGTGGACAATTTACCTACTTTTAAACCAACAATGTTTGTAAAAAGAAGCATCATAGAAGCAGCTGTATATTTGCGATTATTTTAACATTTTGCATTTTTTCATATGCTTCAGTCATCTTGTTTACAGATCACTCATCCAACAAACTAAATACAAGAGTAGTAGATTCAAAATTAGTTGCACAAGAATATATGAAATTTTTCTGTTATAACGTATTAAATAAATAATAATATATTATAATGTATACCTACATTTCTTATGAATATGAATGTTACTCTATTATCAAATCAATTAAGAATTGTATTATATAATAATCAGTTGAATGTGGTAGAAATGTTGATCAAAATTGCATTAAATCAACAAGATTTAATGCAATTTTGGTAAGGATGTATAAATACTATAATATTAAAGCAACATTATTAAATATGAATATGAATTATAATAGCAATAGATAAATGAACATAAACTTACGATTTTAAGCGACACACACTTCACTAACATTATAAGTATAATGTATTCAGAAAACTATCTCGTATAATTTAACTGTGATAATATTTTTTATAAATATATTGATGCGCTTGAATTTATCAATGTATTAAAGGTTTTAAATTCCCGCTCGATTCAACACAACACTGTTTTCTGTACCAACTTCAGTATGTTTTGATCTTCGTACGATTGAAAGCTTGCGATTGGAGTCCAATTGGAATGTACTGATTCGTCCCACACCAATAAAACTCGTCGGGTCCTTCTAATCGGACTCGCAATATTAAAATCTGTCTTGGATTTATTTGTGTTATCAGATTTTTGTAACGACAAGAATTAGCCGTTTCGAGAAATGACTTTAATTTGGATGCAGTGACTCGTCAAATCGATCAGCATCTTAACCAAAGCTCAAATCATTCAAAACAAATAAAATCGTTATTCTCGAGAAAGAACTTGCTATGAGATTCCAATTGGAATACATTATTCCTCGGACGGTGGATGCTAAAGACCAATATGAATAGGCGAATCATTACAACAGTTAATTACAGGCTGCAAAATGATCAGGCGTAATATAAAATTTATCTTTACCAACTTCGACGAATAAAACTTGCATTCAGAAGAAGGCCCGAAATATGTATAATGACGTGCAATTTATTAAGTTACTACTTTAATAAAACACAAAATAAAGAACATATTTATTTATTTCTTATACCATAGCTATCGTACAATGCAATGTTTGGTATCGTGTGAGATTATGTACATTTTGATATAATTATTTGTTAAGTTTAATACATTTAGTTTACAGTCATATGTTTATAACAAGTTTCAAACAATACAGAGTAAAAAAAATATTAAAGTTCCTGCTGAGCCATTTTATTTAAATTACATTATCTCAAATAAATCACCACTTTTAATTATGCACTAACACAAATACCCTGGGATCCTACATATTTTTTTCTGTGAAATTAAAATACAGAAAAAAAATCCACTAAAACTTAGATTTGTTTATTCCTCATAACGAAATGGATAATTCAGGATCTCTTAGCACATTCAATCAGGTGGTATAAATAATCTACACTTAAATTACAACTTTCAGTTGAAGAATATTAAAACACCATTATTGAGGAATTTATGATTCTTCTAGCTTCTAATAAATATCTTCAGGATTATACTAATGTAGACTACATGCCAAAATTCAACATATATAAATAAAATTCAACAAAGTTTGAAATAATTATGATTAAAGTACGATCAATATATGTTATATAAAAAATGTTCTATATTTTCATGTGGTTGTAAAAAGTTTTGCGAAGGAAAAAACACTATTTATTGTTTTTCTTAAATTAGATCTAATTAAAATACAATTCACTTATAAACTATGGCATAATTCTGAAGATATCTTCACCATTTCATTACTTAAAACTTTCTCTATATACAAAATGACAGCAAATTAAATCACACATCAACATACACGATAATCTTTATATATAATTGCCGGCTAGGTGTATGTAAACGGTCACACAATATAAAAGGCACATTTAGCCCAGATTTTATCAATGAATGTTGATTGTTTCTCCAGTATTTTTTGCTTGATTTATCATCATTTTAATAAAACAGCACTTTTTTTTAATCAACAAAATTATATCTGTTAAATATTATTTCAACTATTTCTTATGTTTACGTTCTTTTCTTTTAGTCAACATCTCTTTCACATTATCTATTCAAATATAACTATACACTATAACTTTTCACTTTGATTTTAAACATCATTCTTCTGCTTCTAAAAATAAAAATATGAATATGTTATAATGAACAAGAATCAAATTAATATGATAATCTTACAAATATTTAACTAAAAGAGATTGAAATGCTAACTTACTTTACCACATCATTTTTTAGTGACAGTCAATGTGGCACTGCTGTTCTGTGCAGTTCTGCTAGCAGGCCCAGGCCGGGGCTTAGGTGGCTGAGGTATAATAGTTATTTCATCATTAATTTTTAACGGCTTCAACAAGGAGTCTCCACCTTTATTTAGAGGACTACTACTGCTGCCACTGCCAGGCGTTGCTTTTTTATCCATGACTTTCTTTGCAACCACACTGTGCGCTGAATAGACATGATTTTCAAATTGTTTGTACATTCCAAATGTTGCCGTACATACTGTACATTTGTAGGAGAGGTGTGCAGGTTTTAAAGTCATATTGTGATCGCGATTAACGTGGTTTAATAATTTCCATTGGTAAACCTAAATGAAAAAATTGTAAGACTTTAGAATTATCTATTTCATTCAATTACACAACAGGAAACAATAGAGTTATTTTCAACTTACTCGACCGCAAACTGGACATCTGCCAGCATCCTTGCCTTTATTAGCTGCTTCTTGCATAGATGAAGTCACTAAACCATGAGATCCGAGTAAATGCCTTTCTAAACCTTGATCAGTAAAGAATCTAAACTGACATTTTTGGCAATTTAATGGCGGCCTATTATAAATCATCTTTGGATGAATCTAAAAAACACAAAATTTATTATAATTCTTTGATAAATAATTGAGCAATAAATCGTTGTGGCATATTGCATGCATATTCTAGTCAATTACCTTAACTTTGTGAATCCACTGCATGTGATTTCTTAATTGATCTAAGTCCTTTATATAACCATCACAAATTTCACAAATAACAAATGCTGCTTTTCCTGTAGCCTGTTGGCCTGGCTTATTGGCATTTGAAGTTGGAGAATTACTAGTGCTACTCGAAGATACAGATTGCCTAGGCAATGGAGTTATTGATATACTTGGCTGATGTAAAATCTTTGAATTGTTTGTAGCTTTTGATGAGCCGCTGGGAGTTGTCTAAAATGAATCAAATACATTAATACATAATTATAAAGTGTGATGTATGTTGGAACACAAAAGTAACAGTTTGAAACACTTTTGAAAATCATATTATAAATGCAGAAAGCACACCACAACCATGACTTTAATCCTAGATTATTTTCAAAATATTTGAGACTTTTTTTATTTTTTATTAAAAATTGTGTACAGCTAAAATTGTGTAAAGATTTTGAGGCCTTAAAGTCAGTTTGATCTTTTAAAACTTATGGGTTATACTGATAAAATCAATAAAAATTAATTGTGGAAAACAATTTTGGTTAAAGGCAAACTCCAGCTGCCAGGCATGTAAATTATTTGCATACGATTTTCTAATCTACTGAACACAAAAAGTGCTTGAATCAAATATAACATTTTGATGTACAAATGTACAAAGTAGATTGCAGGGAAAAAGAAGTGCTGCAAATCAATATAATGTAAAATATAAAATAAATTATTTAAGTTCACACAAATTTTCACTACTATTAATTCATAAATTAGTTGCAAGTAAAGTTGTAGCATTGGTAGAAATAATACACAAAGCCAATAAAAATTAATGTTGGGTTATTACAAATATTTTTCAAGATCTTAGAAATATAGAATCTTCTTTTAATTATCCAAAATAAAGCTCTTGAATAAATCATTTCTAATTATGAACCATTATAAATTACAATTATCAATCATTTCCCACAGTGTAATCCCTTCATGATAGAATGATTAAATATTCAGAAATGCATTAGTTAGTAGCGCAAGGATGAAAGAGAGTTCATTAATTTTCAGGATTTTTTCTTAGGTCACTCATACGGTTACCTGAATAGTGACTGAGCCACTACTGGTGGCCACCATTGTGCCAGGCAGCATATTTACCGAGGTGCCAACCACCTAAACACAATAATAATTAAATACTTCATCAGCCTATCTCAGAGATAGAGATTGCATCATGTGGGGGGAGCAGATTAGACTGATCTTTGTATATTAAATATATACATAGCGTATTGTCAATTTTGTTTTATTGGAGAGCATTCCTAACATAACATGCAACTTTTACTTTTTGAACAACAAATTAATAAAATTAAAAAAAAAAAAAAAAAATACAAAAATGAAGTCACTACATACATGCTTTTCCCTATATTTAAAAACTTTTATGAAGCTCCAACAATGTAAAATGCTCATAAAATCAAGTATTTAGACAAACATTAAATAAATGTGATCTCCACTATTATTACCTGCATTAGCTGGTTGGCATTATAAGAATAATTATTAGGCAGCAACAACTGGTTACTGTTTTGAACATTTGTTCTATACATCATATTCCCTCTTATCATTGATGTTCCTGTCGGTACAGATAAAGCCTTATTCAATGCCGGCCTTCCTCTCCCCCTTGAGCCAGAGGTCATTTTAGACACTGGTGCAGGTTGAATTCGCGCCTGATTTGCCATTGCTTGCTGATAGGCTGAGGCCGCACTAGTTAATGATTGTTTAGGTCTTGAAGTCCTTGGGATTTTGGCTGGAGGCTCCCAGTCCAAAGGTGGTCCAAGATTGACCTCAGGTTTGAATTTCTTTGCACAAGCCAGTTGATGCCTGGCTAATTTTGCCTTACCATTATCTTCAAATGGACAATTTGGACATTGGTGATATGAGGCTGCCCGTTCTAGGCGTCCTTTAGTTTTGTGTTCAACTTCCATGTGAATTAGGATATCATGAGGACTTCGAATCTCAAATGGACAGAAATTACAACGATAGAAATAGTTTCGCATGTGTGGAGTTTCCATATGATGTGCAAGTGCCAATGAAGACTCAGTTTTAAAATTACATATCTCACAACGTTTCTGTTCAAAGTGATAAGGTTCATTGTTTTCTTTACTGAACTCAAGATTTTTAATTAATGAATTTATTGCCATTTGTGTAGCAGTACTATTAGTTGATGTTTTGTTTTCTCGATCCCTTTTTCGTTTCTGCTGCTTGAGCAAGTCTGTTTGAACATATTCTTGTACTAAATTTATTCCTATGTTCATGAAAAATTTACCAATAGGGTTATCAAAATAACTATCACTTTTTTTATCGACAGGTTTGACGGTTGTTACACTATCTGGTGTTATAATATGCTTCTTAATAGCTTCTAAAGAATCTTCTTTAATGTCTTTAACTAAAACTTCTTTTTGAACTTTTTCTCCATCTACATCATCTTCATCTTCTGTATCTGAAGTATCATTTTCATCCCAAGATTCATCATCATCACCCTCTTTCCGTCGCTTCTTTTTAGATTTTTTTTTGATTTCAGGTTCTTTATTTTCATCATTATTCTGTTCATCATTTTCTTTTTCTTTTTCCTCCTTTGTCTCATTTAGTTTCTCTTGTTCTTCTTCTAATTTTCTGGCCTCTTCAACTTCTTTTCCCATTTTATCAACAAACTCTCGGAAAGGTTCTGTTGGTGGTTTCTCATAAACATAGGGTACAATAAAACTAGGAGCTTCTACAACAAACATGTCATCTGTAAGATTTGGTAAAACTAAGCTAGGTACAGATGCCACTGGCGCCACTGTTTGATTCACTTTCTGCACTGTTGTGTTATTTACTGGGGTGATAGTTGCCCCTCGAATATTTGCTGGATACATTCCTTGTGCAGGAACAGCTACTGGCATCACTGAAAATGATTGTTTTGTAGTTCCCATAGGCACAGGACCTCGTCCTGATAAAATGGAATTTGTATCAATTATCACTAAAGTAGGAGATTTCTTTCCAGATTTGTTATTAGCCGTACTGTTAGGAGTCATATTCTTTGTTGTAATTTCAACTAAACGTTTGGTGTCTTTAACAACAATAGGTACTGATTTATTTTTTTGCTTTGAAGATCTATTTGATGATGAATCCCCCAAAGGATCAGCCACAGCAACTTCCTCTAAGTCACTTTCTACATTTTTATGAAAATCTAAGTCTTGTTCAAAATCTTCAGAGTACTTTTTGCGAGTTATATTACGACTGCTACGTCTAGGAGTAGTCTCTGCAGGTTTCTCCTTAACTTCTTTTTCAGGAGTATCCAGATTTATGACACAGTCTTCCTTATCACTTTCAATTTCATGAACATCTGTAGAATCTTTGTTTCCATTAAGTTGTTTGTTATCATCAGTTTTATTGGGTTCAGCCTCAGTAACACATTCATCTTCACTGTCTGAATGGATGCTCATGGGTTCATCAACGCTCACTCCATTTGACACCATATCCTCTTCTTCTTCGGTGTCTTCATCCAAGGCTTCAACTTCATCTTCACTGTCGGATGGTATCAATATTCCATCTTCCTGTTTAGCTGAAGTAGAACTTTGAGTATCATTGCTATTTTCTTTATTTTTGCCATTACTAAATTCTTGCTGTGAAGAACCATTACTGCTGATGCTATGGTTGCTAGCTTGACTATCTGTATTGTGATTTCTAGATAAATTCTCGCTTACTACAGAATCAGGTCTTGACATGCTTGCATCATTCTCATCATTATCACAAGATTTGCTGTCGTCCTTATCATCAAAGCTCTTATTACTATTTTCATTAGGATTGAAATCTATGTGCTCATTATTTAGATTATCTTGACTATTACTTTCTTCATCCTCACAATTTTCTTCTAAGTTTTTATCAACAGAAGTAGTTGGTGACGCACATTCACTAGTGTCCATAAGTTCTGCAGAGCCATTAAAAGCACCATTTACTTTATCACTTTCTACATCTGCAACAATATTGAGAGATATCACTTAATGTAACCTTATTCATACAATGATCATGAATATTAACGGTCGAATAAGAACATGATAAAAAAGTGACATTATACATACCATTATCCTCATTATCGATGTGCATTTCTGCATCAGATCCTATTTCAGCCATTCTGGTTCTTCAGATGTCTAAAAATTTAATACATTTAATAAATAGTATAACCATTCATAAAGGTTAGTGAGTAACCAACTGAAAACAATCATACATAACTGTTATCAAAATCAAGTAACTGAATAGTGTATTCATATGCAGTTCATAATTAATACTTTAGTGTCTTGAAAAAGAATTGTGAAATAAATCAAAAAATACTTTTCAAAATGGCGCCGACGTTTTTTTTCATTACATTAGTAATTATGAAGCACCTAGTTACTTTACACTTTGTGACAAAGTTGTATTTATAAATCATTTTGAAAAAAATATTTTAAGAGATTTCAATATTACAACTATAGAATAATGCACGAGTTACATATACGAATAAGTTTTGTGTGAAAAGGGAACCTCTCAGACACCTGGTGTCATCGTTTTGGGCGCCTATTTTGTTGCACACACCGACATACAAACTTAAACAAAAAATCATAAGGCATTTTTATATTGCGCAATTTAGGTAACAATTGTTTCAATTTCTTCATTATATTATAAATGAGGTTATGATAACAATATAATCATAAAATATAATTGCCACCTCATTCGCGAGCAGCGAACGCAAGTGACAGTTTAATTTTAAACAATAAATATCATAACACAAACTGAATCACCAAGTGCAATAAATGAAAATCATTTATTGAATAATTTCCTAAAGAATTTCGATCCGAATTAATTGTTACGAACATCTGCCTCGTACACGATGCCGCCAACATACCCTGTTTACAGATATCAACTGAAGCAGTTAAAGACCACAAAAGAGCCGGCACATTTGAATTCACCAAACACACGCCACATGAATCAAATCGATGTCTAATAATAATAATTATTATTATTGATAATAATAAATAACAGTAGATTAATATTAAAATTAATTTAACGGAGCACTACGTCACGAACCCTCACCAAAATCAGCAAGATGGCGACAGGCACGGGTCACGTGATCGTGCAGTGGCGTACTTGGGGCTTATATTCGGGCGGCTCCAAAGCCGGTACCAGGACATTGACATCATAAATTGTAGGGATAATCAAGATCATGTATTTCGCATATCGCAAGCGTCGTGCAGTCCAACAATTTGCCACTTGTCGCTTGAAAATTTTATTCGTAACAATTAAAAAGTGATAACTTGGCAATGCACAGACCGCTTTACTAGCAAATTTTCAGTATATCATAAAACCTCAAGTATATATAATTAGACCTTTTTCACTGGGATGTCGTCGCTCCGGCGACAAAATACGTGTTAATTTTGGATTTCGCGAGTGGAAAGGGTTAAACAAGCTAAAGTCCTACACCAGTCTGATCCATTAGCTCCATCATATTTTAATCTAGTGTAAGCGCCAACTGAGTTAGTTTAATTATTTTGAATGATATTACTAGGATGCTTTGTATAGAGTCGCAGCTGTAGAAGGTTTCATTAATTTATGATGAATAACGGCCTATGAACCACAATTTGAAATTCGCTCGCGTACATCCTAAGAAATCTTGGATATAGTTTTTGCCCATTATCAAGAATCTACGAACTACTCTAGAAAGAAAAGTATAGAAAGAGTATCGTAAAAAAGTAAAAGAAAAGTATGGTCAACACATTTTGTATGTACGAAATTTATTCAATTTATGTATACTACAGTGGCAGTGCATAAAGTAACAAAAACTAGTGGAACTTATATCAAACTTTTAAATATTCTAATTCTTAATGGATCAGTGATTACTCCTCAGAGTCGAATATGATATGTGTACAACGGCCGAACATGATATGTATTTTATATTGGTTTCCCGCGTTATCCATGTATCGTTACATAATCCTGATCGATGGCGCTCACCGACGCACACCATCATATCAGTGCGGCACTCGCACCAATACCAATACAGGCAAACGAATTACTTTCGTCGGGGCCTCACATTGCGGGCCTGAAATGACGAGAGCTCGGTCTCACTGTGCGGGCCTCCCCTTATATTAGAAAATGTTTGGCCCGATCCTCGTTTTGCCTATGTGGCTACGTCTACCGTAAAAGTCTTGGAAAAAAATGACGATAAACCAATTGTGGCCGGCTAATGTTAAATAATAAGAGTCCGATAGCCGCTCAAAGAATCTTTAAAGGGCAGAAATCGCTGGAAATCAAAAAAATAACCGAACCAAAATGTTTGGGAAACTCAAACACAATTTCGGGCACTCGTGGCCAATTGCGATCACTACCATTAAATAAAAAAGTCAAACACGAGAATCAATCTGCCAAGTAGAAAATCAATCGACGACAAGCAAGGTGGAAACACAAAAATTATCACATATCATATACATGGGGTCCATGGGGTATAACGCATGGGGCATAATCGGACATAGATTACTACAATGTGCCCATCGGTACCCCATTAAAGATAAAACATCCTATCAAACTCATCACATATGCTTTAATTGAAGATTGTCTACCTTCGACTATTTTAACATCTTCATAATATAAAAGTAAGCAAAAATTATGAGGGTATATAACGCCATGCATTTGAAATAATGTGAGGGAAGTCGAAAAACAAAACCAATTTGAATATAAAAATCAAATTAAATTAGAAACAAAGATTTAGCAACAGTTACTAATTATCGGAACGATTTAATAAAAATGAGAGAAAAATAGCGAACAATACATAAATAATTCTAAGTATATATATATATATATATATATATATATATATATATATATATATACAGACTTTCTAAAATATCTATATATTGTAAGGCAAAGGAATTCCAAGAAAGAACAATGTATATAGAATCTACTCTGATCACAAGAGCACCCCATATAAATATTGCAAAAACATATATAAACTATATTATCTACAAAAATGCGACTAATATAAATATGCATAATTGAAGGTTGCTGAAATCAACTAGAAAATAATAAAATTTAACTAGAAATTCTGTCAAGATGCACATTTAGCCGAATTGAATGCATATATGTCTTGTAACGATTATTCAACTATTATGCATAAATATATATATATATATATATATATATATATATATATATGTACCGTTCTTCAACAGGTATTCTTGATCAACGGCATTTCTTGATCAAGTGTACAACACAATTTATATTTATACAAGTCTTTTTTTTAAATAAATGATGCAATGTTAACAGATAACCAAGAGAAAAATTATGATTAATAAACTGACTAAAATGGAATTAATTTGTGTCATTTTTTGTTCCAAAGCCTTTTTTCAAGTTGATAAAATTATTATAATTTATGAATTTACCTTATTTTTTTAATTCTCATCGACGTCAAAGGATAGCACCGGCACAATTCTCTTATCCGATTTTCGTTTCTTCTTATCCGATTTCGACTTTTCCTCCGGACCGACCCTTTTCTTCCCCTTTTCTTCTGGCTTTTCCAAATCCGGCTTTTGGATGATCGAAAAATTACTCTTTGAGACAGATCGGCCGGTTTATTTTCTTCTTCTATAAAAATAATAAAATACGACAAACAAATTATTTACGTATATTTTTTAAATGCAAACAAAATTTTAATTGCTCATTAAAAAAAAACTTGGCCATGGATTGCTCAGTTTATATATGTTTCAATTTTTTGTGCTAACCCTTATACCCAACACGGTTCTTTAACCCCCTTATTAATTTTTCGCTTGATTCAAATTATGTGTAATTCTAACTAAAGCTTTTAACTTAATTCTTATATTTGAAAGTACATCAACAATGAAAATAAATATTCTATCCCGTCCATAATTGAAAATAAAATTATGGCGTATATTGGCTGTGTAGGCAATGACTGTGATGAACCGTATTCTTATTATAAGTTTATCTAGATGAATTACAATTATACTTGATTTCAAATAACCAAGTAATCATGATCATATATATTTAATTTGCCAAAATAATCCACCATGCAATTAGATTATTTTTCGAAGAATGAAGTTAGTGGATGTGAACAGGAAATGTTCCCATTCGCTTTTATATAATATATCGATTTTTCGCCATCGGCCTCTCTTCCTCATTTTTTATCCTTGATAAAAATTTTTGCAAGCCGCAAACCTTTCAAATAAAATATTTATAGCTAAATTTTTCAAAGACGAATATAAAGATTAAGTTATTTTCTATCAATTGCAAGAAAGGCATAATATGATAATATAAACGCGACACAACGATATAACTAATACGAAATTCATC